TTTAGGCTTACTGAAAACATAACTTCTTTTCAGCAAGCTTCTGTTTGTTTGTTTTCTCTTTTTGATGTTTAGCATAACTTGAAATTTAGCAACTAGATTTGGTTGCTTATGTAGGAATGTTGATACTTTAGCATATTATGGTCAGCATATTATGGTCACTGTTACCTAATGTTTCTATTATGAAATTTTGAATCTGATCCTGCTCATCTCATGGTACCAAATCAGGATTTCATTTCCTTCTGCTGAGCAATTGGTCAGTGATGGCAAGCTCACGAAATGGTCAGTGATGGCATCTAAAAATGTGCTCCCTGCTTTGTGTCCTGGTATGATACTTGGCCAACCTGAGAGAGTAACTTACGTCATCGCTAAATTTCTATTTCCTGCCAGGATTGGCTTCTAGTTAGTTAAGTGAGCAGTAATACTGGTCCTGCACCATATTAAGTAAGAACTTTGAAGCTGTATGAGTTGTGTTATTTATTGCAATGAGTTTTGATTGGATTCTAAGCTTTCTAACAGGTACTGATACTCGGGGACTGGCATGTTCTGCTGTCCTGGTATTTTGTAACCAGTATTGCAGCACACTTGATGTGATAGGTGTATGGGAAGTTTTGTGGAAAAGAAAATCCATGACCTCACTGAGCCCGTTTTATTCTATAGATTTCTATCATTTGTTGAAATTCTTCATTTGGTTCCTTTCTAGGCATGTTCTTGAAATGGCGGTTTGTATCTTCTGTTTCCTATCAGGTTATTTCCATTCTTTGACCATCCTGTACTTAGGGATAAGAATTTTTGTGTCCATTCCTCATGAAAGAATGTTATGTCTTCTCTCTTAGGATGTTCCAGAGAAAATGTATCTGGGATGAGATATCAAAGGATTTTGGTTTTTTTTTTCCACATTCCTCAGTTTGAAAAATCACTTGCAAACTCCTTAATTTGAAATGGCATTAGTTTTCTTCTTTTTTTTTTTCTAAACTACATCTGTGCAAGTAGCACAGTGCACCAGGAATAGATCTTCAGAACAAAACAGTTGGTACTGAAAACCCAGCAGCTACACTATTACACTATACACATTTTGGGTTTTTTGTTTTGTACTGACTCTTGTTTGATCCTGAGGTAAATTCCTCATAGCAGATGAAAAGCATTTGGTGTGTTCCCTCAGTGCCCTTTCCAGATTTATTTCCTCTGAAAAGAATTTAGTTCTTTCGGGACAAACTGAAGCATATTAAGTGGGATTGATAAGAGATTCACTTGGAGGAAAAAACCCACTCCTGATCCAGCCTGAAAGGGTGGTGTATCCCTATGGTTTGGATGAAGGCCACCCGTTCTATCCACTTTCCCTTTATTCTGGAAGCATTCCCAGTTCCTCATGAATCTGAGACCTTGTCACACAATCTTTTCAGCCAGGTATTTAAATTCTGCTTCTCTCCCTCTGGAACTACATCAAGTGCTGGGAGAGCTATAGCGAAAGTTAAACACTTCTATTCTTGTCTTATTCACCTCAGATATGCATCTTTTGTGTGAAATGATGTATGACTTCACTATGATCTCTGCCGTGTCTAATAATGGTGGCTAAAGAACACACCGTTGGAAGCTCTATTTTAGGCAAGATGTACAGAGCAAAAATCCAAAATGACAAGTGCACGTCTTAGCTACCGATTTCTCTTCTCCACTAAAATTAAAGGGAAAAGAACTGGAATATGTAGTCTGAGTGTGATTTTGAGACTAAATGTGAAATATTTATATGGTAGTGGGGCTATTTATCGGGGAACACTGAAGTACAAGTTTGTTTTTATTTCTGAGAATGCATCACATTGTTTGTGAGAACTTGTTTGGCTAAATTAGCCAAAACCAATGAAGAGCCAGGGTCTACACGCTAGTTCTGTACTTCTCATGCAGGCTGTGTAGGTGAACAACAGAGATCAGCAAATCTAAGTACAGGATCATATGTAGTCTGTGAAGGTCAGAAATTGAAAGTCTGACAACTATCCATCCCTCCCAAGCAAAGACTATAACCTGCCTGCAGTGCAGTGTTGGTGGGCTGAGTTTGGGCTGTACAAAAGCCTGCTAGTTGTGCTTCAGCCCTGTGCTGCATGAATTCTAGTGGTAGTACTGGGAAATGATATCTGCCTTCCAGGTCTGGGGTTGCACTATCTTTCCAGTAAAACTGGGTGGAGTAGGCAAGTACCCATGTGTAATASTCTACTATGCATGTGACAGGAATCTTTTCCAAGGTTGTAAACTCAAAAATACTTTTTTTTTTAAATGTTTTTATGCAGATAATTGATTATGAGAAGAACCAGACTCTAGGACAAAATGATACTGGATTTAGTTGTGATGGAACTGCCAATACATTCAGAGTAATGTTTAAAGAACCTATAGAGATTCTACCAACTGTTTGCTACACCGCTTGTGCTACACTGAAAGTAAGAACAGTATGGAAGAAAATGTTGTTCTGACCCAAGGTTTTGTCTAACCTGTATTTGTTTTCTGATGGAGGAGTGTCTTGCATTTAAGTTCAGTACTGAAGAAGGCTGCAGTTAAATTCTGTGGTAATTGGTAAAACTGCTAACTCTATTCTGTGCCACAGCATAGAATTCATAACTGAAGTGAGAGAGAGGTGGGGATGCTACTTTATCTTCAGCTTTTCTCCTTTGTTTTCCCATTTTCTTACTCAGGAAGGGAATGGATCCTAATGAGAGTCACTATTTCTGTGTGGGGAAAAGCACAACTTACGATATTCAATTTGGCAGCTATTTGTATTAAAATCTAAGGCATGCATGTGTTGTTGTTTTTTTTCTTAAAGATTTTTTTTATCAAGGATATCCCAGCCAACAGCTATATCCAAAAAATAGAAAGCTTTCTCTTTTTTACAGAGTTCTTGAAATACAGGAGTGATTTGCTTTAGTAAAGCTTCCTCCTGAACTTAAAAAACAAATTTATTCTTTCACTGTTTTGTCCAAAATAATTAAAAATCGGTGTTCTTTTAATTTCCTATGCAAAAATCGAAGTTGAGTAGGTTGGAAAAGATATTGCACATTTAAAAGAAGCAGCTGAGGCAGAGAACTAAATAAAGGTCACGGACAATGATATAACAAGTAGATATACTATAAAGCATTTATTCATTATCAGCAAGGCAAAACCAAGTGATTTAAGTCTACTTTCAATAGCTTTTATGTAGATATTGCTACATAAATAGCTTTTGCTGGTTTTGTATGTGGTTTTGTACATAAGTGGATACTGTAATTTTATATTATAATAATCTAAATCAATAGACTTCAACACTTTATGGTTTTTGCTGCATGCTTCTCATTCAGTGACTAATCTCTTCTGATTTTTCTAGGGTCCCGATTCTCACTATGGAACAAAAGGATTGAAGAAAGTGACACATGAGTCTCCTACTGCTAGCAAAACATGCTTTGTCTTTTACAGTTCGCCAGGTAACAATAATGGTACATCAATAGAAGATGGACAAATACCAGAAATAATATTTTATACATAAAATCACCTTGGATGTGTATCAGTGGACTTTAGTTCACTACTGATGGCAATCACAAAATTCTATAAAATTACATGAATATTTAAAACCAAAATTAACTTGTTCGAGCGGTACCAGAAAAGCTCTTCTCTCTGCATATTACTGGAAGAATGGGATAACTTAGCTTTTCCTCTTAACAAAGCCTCACGTGGAATAACTTTGCTGTATATTGAAAAGATTGTTTTAAAAAGTACCCTGTGTTTACTGGATTTGTATTTTTACCCCTTGATCTCTGACACAATGGAAYTCATCTTTTAAACTGGAAAACGTTATTCATTATGAATTTTGAGTGTTGTACATTTTCCCCTTCCTGTCTTAAAAAGACAGTAAATCTGCTGCTGTATTTCCAGCTTATGTTTCTCTTCAAAGTAACTGTGGAATGACCCTATGACCCTGCATTACTATTTTTTTTTGTAAAGTCTATCAGCAAAACTGGATTGATACTATGATCATTTTGACTCTTTTGAACGAGTTGTGGATAACGAATGAATTTAGAACTTCAGACAACATCAGCAACTGTTGAAGAAAYACTAAGTCAAAATCTGCAATATCAATGTCTCCAGCATCTCTTAATTCATAAGGACTGYTTTGGAACACAGAGCTGGTTACAGAGATAGCCACCGTATGTACATATGTGCCTGTAAGAAAATGTGTAAATGAAATGTGAAAATGAGAATATAAAACTTGTAATGATGTCATTTTACGAATGGATGCTCTAATACTAAATACCAAAAAAAAAAAAAAAGTGAACTAAGGATTATTTGTATACATCTAGTTGAAGGGTGTACGGTAATGAGAGGTTTTTAGGTGAGTATCTATAGTATTCAGCATCTTGCAATATTTGCTGTAGTTTCACAGGAAAAATAGTGCAATCCTTCCTCTGTGGACTCCTGTGCCCTCCTACAACCTAAGTACTAGGTTGAGAACACGTGAAAAGAACCTTATCTCCTGTAGCACTACGACAGTGTATACGTTCACCTTTATAATGCTTTATGATTGCATTAAACAGAAGCTTACTTCTTAAAGCAGGGGAGGAACACCTCTCTTCACTTGCAAATAGTGCCTGGGAGAAGGCAGCGGTGCTAGAAAACAYATTGAGGTAGTTACAGGAGCCTCTGCCTGAAGCTTCAGGGTTTCATTGGGAAAGCTCTCCTCATTATGGGTTTATAATGCTTCTTTAGGCCAGAGTGGGGAAGAGTGCAGTCTAGGTGCAGATCTAGTTCCACACTACATCTTTCTGCAGCCTAACGCTGGGATGACCCTAGGCCCTGCCTTGCTGTAATGACCTTACACTAGGGACTGCTGTCAGTAAGTGTGGAGCCCTTTTATCCACCGTCTGCCCCCTTTTGTGGTCAGCAGGGCTTTAGCCGCACCCTGGCCGTGCAGGGCCCGGCGGGGCCGGGTTCCGCGCGGCCCTTGCCGCAGCCCTGCACGACGCCCCTGCCGCGCTGGCCGAGGGGCCGCCATGGCGGCGCCGCCCGCTCCCCAGCCGCGCCTGCGCAACCGCGCAGCCGCAGCGCGCAGGCGCGAGGCGGGCGGCGCGGCCGCTGTTGCCGGAAGCGCCGCGCGGGGCATGTTGGCCCTCGCCGGCCTCCGTGGGCGCGCGGCCGCCATGCCCCGCAGGGTGGGTGCGGGCCCGAGCCCGGCGTGGCGGCCGCGGGGCCGGGGTGGCGGCGCTCACCGCCCCTGTGTCTCTTGCAGGGCAAGGGCGGCGCGGAGGAGGCAGCCGCGGCCCGGCCGGCCGCCCCCGCGGGGCCCGTGGCGGCGGGCGGCGATGGCTCCGTGCGGGTGACCGTGCGCGCCAAGCCCGGCTGCCGGCGCAGCGCCGTGACAGGTAGGGCCCGCGCGGGCCCCGCTCCCCCTCGCGGGACCGGGCCGGGAGCTGCTGCCCGAGCGCGCCACTCGCTCCAGCGGGGGGAGCCCGTGCCCCGGGAACGGGTATCGAGTGACAGAAGCAACAAGTGGGTTTGTTTACGTGCGGGTTAAAGCCAGGCTTTGTGTGCGCGCTTGTGTGAGGCTGCCGGGGGGACCTGCGGCCCGCAGCACGGCTCCCTGCCCCCGGTGTCTCTCCGCAGACACAGGAGCTAAAGGGCGTTTGCAGCTGTTCTATATTTCAACAGGAATAGAACGCAGAAGCAGTAAAGTAGTTGGAGACCATAATTGATATTGCTTTAAAATAAGTGTAAACTTCAATGCTGAAGCAGAGCCTAGGAAACAGTGGGCGCTTTGGGGAGGCGCAGTTGTGTTCAGTAAAACGTGAGCCTGCTGGCTGTGCACAGACCTGTGTGCAGGCCTTTGCGTCGTGCGTTTGGGGTAACACTGCACGCTGCAAAGCTGGATCTGCAGCAGCGACAGAATGGGCGTCATGCAGAGAGACCCAGCTCTACAGAGATTTAGACAGCGTAAAAACTGCTGGTTCTCAGACCTAGTCTTAYACAGATCTGTATGGTTATTTCGTACTGCGTGACTTTTAACTTGGAGTAGTTTGTGGAGTGTAAAAATGGCAAGTTATATACTGTGCTGGGAGCTTATTTGGATTTAAATTGAACTGTTTCCAAAACATAAATATTATTATTTTTAAGAGCTAAGAATTGGATGCTTAAAATATTCTGAGCATAAAATCCTTAAAATATTTTCTTGTAGATGTGACAACTGAGGCAGTAGGTGTAGCTATTGCTGCACCTCCGTCAGATGGAGAAGCAAATGCAGAGCTGTGTCGCTACCTCTCTAAGGTGCTAGAGGTGAAGAAGAGTGAAGTTGTTTTAGAGAAGGTACCTTTTTTTTTTTTTTTTCATTTTTTTTTTTTCCCTTCTTCCCCTTTCAGTCTTGTCCTGCTGCACTTCACATTCAGGTTTCTGGAATGATTTGTTGAACATTGGAGAGAGGGAGCCTGTTCTTCAACTACTACTTGAGTTTTTAGCATTCAGTTCAAAGGTGTTTGTAAGACATGTGAACGATGTTTGGATGAGTTAATGGAATGACTCATTCAGAGTAAATGCAGTATAGGAAGAACCACAGCTCATTTTGAGATCTTTAATCAGAATGGTTCTCGCCATGATATATTTTTAAAATCTCTGTCTTTCATGTTTGCATTGCATTTGAAAATCCACTTGTTTTCATTTCAAATCCACTTCACAAAATTCATGTGCTTTGCAGAAAATGTGTATTTTGCAATAATATTTTGGAAGATGCTTCTGTATTGACTGAAAATTTTCTGACAACTGCCATGGCTGTAAGAGCATATATAGATACTTAGACTATAACTGGACCTTAAGAATTTCTTTGTAACAGAAGAACTTCAGTGCTTTCTCTTTGGCAAGTGGAAACTGTTTGTTTTATTTATTGCACTGGATAAATAATTTATTTTATTAATTCATTGTACTTAAAGTCCGTTTTTCCAGCCCTCTTCATTTATGGGTTATGAACATGAAGTTTAATGTCATAGAAGTCTGTTAACAGTTAGTGATAATGGCAACATGATCAATGAATTGAGCGCTGCTTTGCTGAAAGGTAGAGATGCCAAGGTTTTAAGTTCTCTTTTTTCCTGAATGCTAGGCAAACTACTTMATCCTTATCAATATTTTACAGATAACACTGCTCTTCTACTTGTCCTCAACATCAAGGGATGTTGAGTTTTAACTAGATCATTCTCATAAGGTAGTTATGTTGATTCTTTTTAACATAGGATAGTAAGTGTAAAAGGGAGCAGCATTATCTGACCTTCTTGGCTCAGTTGCTCTGGCCTACAGCACCCAAATAATTGCATTTAGGTGTTTGTCTTTGACAAGCCATGTTTGATCTCAGTGAAGCGTGTCTCAGTGGTAATGTCTGTATTTTCCTTGTGGCTCACATTTCCTTCTGATCTGCTAGGTGTGCAAAAGTGCTTTTTGGTACTAGTTGTTCTCTCTTAGCTGCTGCTTTCTATGTATTAACAAATAGCAAAAGCAATCCAAGTAGGAAATGATACAGTAAAAAAAAAATAGAATTACTGGATTTTTGTGCAAGTGTATTGATTTTCATCATCAGTGGGCTAGATTGCTTCAAAATCTGTTTTTCTTTTTATACTTCATACCTTATTTCTGTATATTAGAGCTAAGAACTTTTTCCTCCTTCAGGATGTTCATTGTGGACTTTTCAAATGCCTTTCTGCTAGGTCTCAAATTAACATGTAGCTAGTGTGTTTCTAATGTCTTTACTGAATGTCAGCAATGTTGTAACCTTGGACAACATGAAATGAGGTTACAGGTTTGACAGTTCCTACATTATATATCAATCTTGTTGGTAATATTTGAGATACTTTCTTGTTGTTGTTCATAAATGCTGTATGAATCTGGAGTGCCTTATACGTTTTCTGCAATGCTACTTCTTTTCCACCTGTTGATGATGATCAATCTGAGAGCTCAAGTAACTACTGTTCTTTGGGACACAGGGTTGGAGGAAGATCTGAAAGTCCATACCCGTCAAACATATATAGTAACCTTTTGAAAAACAAAAGGCAAATGTGGTTGAAGTTTTACTTCTTGATGATMTGACAGAGTTACGGAAATTTATCACTTCTTGCTTCTCCTTGTAACCTGTAAAAAAGAGCATTAATTTAGGGTGGGTGTGCTCTATCAGCTGAATCTAGTTTTAATAAGATAGTTAGATAAGACATTTCTTTTCACGTTTAAAATAGCTAGAAAAAGCACTGATGAACCATATCACACTGTTGTTAATTCTGCCTACCCAAATGCTAAGAATTATTTTTTCAAGTATCTGATACATTGACATTACAGTGAGATTTTTGGAATGTGTATGTGGTGATGATTCTCTGAAAGTTTTTTTTTTTGTGTGTGTGTGTGTGTCTAAACTAGGGTGGTAAATCACGTGACAAAGTGGTGAAGATTTTGGTATCGATGACACCAGATGAGATATTAGAAAAACTGAAAAAAGAAGCTTCCAGTTGACCTAAAACCAGAGCAGGAAATGGAGCAATGCGTCTTGGTAAATTATATAAATCTGGTCCTATGGGAATGTGGATAATGCCTAGGGAAAGGTAATATTGCCCCTCTTGTTAATACAGCTGCTGCTTAGTTGAAGTGTTTGTGTAGGTCTCGGTCTTCACCTTTGTCACTGTATGTAGTAAAATTGGAAAAATTTGTCTTTACAGAGGTTCCAGGTCTGATTCAGTCAGTACAGTTTTATTTTTTTGTTTTATTTTTTCCCCTCTGGAGAGTTTCTTGCTTGTAAGATTTGTCCACTTAATAAACAGTTCAGAGATCATTTAGAAATGCCATGCAAAAGGATAGATGAATCTAGTTGATGAAGAGCATAAAGAGCGTTCTCTGTAATATCTGGTGGCTGACATAGGATGCAGTTCTCCTGTTACTTGCACATCTGTATATCTAAATTAAAGTTATTTGAAGCCAGTATCCTTTGTTGCACACAAGCAAGCTAGAAGCAGAATCATCTCCTGAGTAACTGAAGAGAATCAGAAGTTTGCAGTATAAAAAACTGACCATGCAGTCACGGTTTCTTTGCTAAATGCTAAATGTAATGACTTTTTAAATAATAAAAAGGCAAAATATTTCTAACCTTGTTTTGTATTTATATTTTTGACCATAAAAAAGTTTCCTAGATGTCACTTTGTACAATGTTCTGTTTTTTGTTTTTGTTTTTGTTTTTTTAATAGCAGGGCTTGCTTGCATTCTTTTCTTGGTTTAAAAATGAGTAGTATTCTAGCCAGTAGAAAGTCGAGCAGCCTTAGACCTGAAGTTACAGGAGGTCTGAAACTGAAGGGGCAACTGTCCAGTGTCTTGGGATAATGAAGCCTTAAGAAATAAGGAAGCCTTAAATTTTCTGTTTATCATACTTCACAAATCAGAGTTAGATTAAACCAGTGTTTCCTCAAAACTGATGTGATGTTCAACTAGTTACTGTTGTTCCTCAGAACGTCCTCACAGCTTTTTATCTTGGTAACTGTTGGTGTTTGAAGTGGTTCTCTCTTTACTGTGTTTTTCACTTTATAAAAAGGAATGTCATTTTAGTGGCCCACATAAAAAGAAGAAAAATGTTCTCACTATCCCTTTCAGGTTAGTTATACCCTCCTCAGGAAACCAATCTGCTATAAATGCAAAATGTACAGCTGCATTTCTTTACTAGTTTCACATCATGCAACCCTCACAGCAAGCATTTCAGTTGTCCATAGTCGAAAATCTCCTGCCTTAGCTATTTCTCCCTGCTTCATTTTGTTCTTAATATTGCAGTGATTTTTAGTGTCAGAAAACTGGTCCTACTGGTGTTTATCATGGTGAAATATCTTTTGAAGTGACTCAGTTTCACAGATCTTATTACAAGGTAACTTATTTTTATAGTGTTTCAGTAGGGTGATAATTCTGTAGTTCGCAAATGCTGTTTGTTGAATGTTTTTATCAGGACTTCTTGTGTTCTCAGGCTTGTGGTCAGCTGTACGYTGCCTCCTATGTTTTTCCCTGGCCTTTTCCATTTGTCAGGTCCAGTTTGGTTAAGTTCCATCATCCCTGCTGTCCTGTGAACTTTGGTTCAGGGCTCCTTGCTGCCTCATCTGCTCCTGCCTAGCAGAAGGGTTCCATATCTTGCAGAAAAATTATGGCAAGGCAAGCAAAAAATAAGTGATGTGATTTCAACACCCATTATAAAGGTTTCCTAGGAAAAGGGTACCTCATGTTACGTTATATTACACTATATGTATTTTAATGAATATATCATTAAATACATATTTCAGTATGTATTTGAATATATATTTCAATATGCATTTGAAATAATGTATTACATTTTTTTTCATAGTTACAGAGTCATTTTGGAGGAAGTATATTGTTCATCAGTGATGATTATCTGTAACACTACCCAACTCAATTTTCCATTCCCCAGTGGGACTTGGTTTTATTTGTCCAGTTTAGTTGTCATAGTTTTCAAAACTTGTTGCAGTTAACTATTTTTAGCATTGTTTCTTAAGAAGCAAAAGTATTATTGGTGGCATGTATCCGAGGCCTGGCTTCTGCTGCTCCGTGCATTAGCTAGGTAAGGTCTTGGTGCAAGTGTAATGAAGCCTCAGCAAAAGCAACTAGAGTAGCAAATAAATCAGAGGGTTTAAAATTAAGTTCTGCTAGCAGTGGCTTTCCTAAGTCAAGGCTAAGTGGAAATCCGCCTTTATATGCTGAGAACAGGCAATATTTAAGCATTAACCAAAAAAGTATTTTAGAAAGGTAACATAGATAAAATTGTGGTGGTGCTGTATCTAACATCTGAGAGCCTCTTCTGTCAGTATTTTTATGCATGCTCTCAATTATATCTCTAACATTCTCGTTGCTGATGACATACCAGGGAGAAGGGAAGATCGTTACTGATGCACTGCGTAGCAGCCTGATTACTCAACTGTTTGATACCCAGCGTTTTACTCAAGCTCTACGCTCTTTTCCTAATGCATTCTCTGACAAATCTAAGTAAGATAATTCTAGAAGTGAACTAGTATCTTAGTACTTACAGATCTGGGTTGTGGTTAAAGATGTACTTTTAGCTTTTTGTTTGTTTGCTTTTATAATTAAGTTGCTTAAACTTTAGCAAAGTATAAGTTAATGTAAGTTTTATGTCCAGCAGTCTTATAGCACAGATCACTTTTGCTCTTTCTCCTCCCCTGTTACATTCACCTTCTGAAATCAAACTTTGAGAGTGGGTGCATGGTTTCACTGCAGCACTTTTACTTGCTAATTAGGGATATTTAATTATACCCTCTGAAACCTGCCTGTCTGCTCTTTAACTTTCAAATCTACTTCATTTATCATGTGCAGCTTGTCTTTATCTCTCCTTTCAGTCCCATGTGTTTCTAAATCCCCTTTTCCTCCTGTATCATCAGTCCAAATAATCCTGTRTAATTGACAACTTTGTCAGTAACTGGCAGTGGCAATTTAGCAGAAAGCACAGTTTAATATCTTCCTTCTTTCAGCCTCCAGGAAGATRGATACACCTGATCTTTCCCATTATTTCACATGCCTTGCGCTCAGTATTTACCTTTCATACTGGTTATTGTATATGCAAAACCTGAACCAGCTGAGTCCCACCTCCCCCCCTTTTTATTTTAGTTTACTGTATTTCTTTCTTAATGTTTTTAGCCTTTTCTCTCAGCAGGATGAGTCATTGTCGTATTTGCTAGTGTAAAAATGTGCTCYTCTGTTTCCTTCTGGGCATGCAGTGCTTTACATGCATGTGAAGCAGGTCTTTCTCTGAGGTCCTGGGAGTCTGTGTCTTCCTTCTTTGTATATTAGCTTTTCAAATAAATTCTTTATTGTTCACTGAAAATTCATTATCTTTCCTCTTTAAATATGGCATTTGTTTCTGTGTTGCCTCAGAGGCTGGGAAAGCTCGAGTGAGTTTATTCAGCAGGGAGACACCTTGCCATCTTGCTGCAGGCATGATTTTGAGAACATTGTTTAAATAACATTTAATGTCATCCTAATCTCAGGAAGGACAGGTGGAAAGGGAAATACATTGAGTATCTACCATTCAGTCACTATAGAAACATGCCCTAAAGAGAGCAGTTGGCCAGGGACTTAGGAGAACAGAGTGCTGAAATGAACAGCAAAGGGTCGAAGCCTCATTTCGTGCTGCTCAGGAAAAGCAGACATATGCCTTACGAGAATATCTGGGGTTAGAAAGTGCAGTTCTGGGGTAATTGCCATTAAACGGTGTTCTTTTTTTTCTATCCTGTATGAGTGCATGGGAGGGGTTGCAGTGAGTTGTTCTCTGCTCAGTCTTCATTGCTATAATAAATCTTGCAGAGCAGTGGTGAGCAAGAATGCATTAAGGCATAATTAAAAAAAAAAAAAAAGCTTATATATGTTAGGACATATTTGGTGCCCATTTATTTCAAAGAGGCAAGTTGAGTTTTATGAAATAAGCTGTTTCTGTGGAACTTTCTTTTAGTGTTTCCCCTTTTATTAGCTTGTGGTAAAATCGGCACAGCTTTCTGCTGCTGTGTGAATGCTCAGGGAGGCCTTGGGGTAGATTTGAAAGCAGCAGCAACAGGAACGTGTTGCTACTCCTGCCCCGAGCTCGGGGCTCCCGCCCACGTGCCCTCCTGCCGCCCTCTCACATTTGGGTTTGCAGCCACTGTGCCCAGTGGCAGGACAAGGCCCTTCAGTGCCTTATCACCTACTGGGRTCGCTTCTGCTCTTTATCTCTTACGTCAGCTGTGTTGCTGATGCTCCTCTCCTTAGGTGTTGCTGTCTTTTCTTGCTTATTCTGTTTCTTCGGCCCAGCAGCAATTTGAGATTTGGAAGGGAAAGAAAGATTTTCTTGGGAAATAAGCCATGAACTCAGAGGGCAAACCTGTCCCTTCTAGGAGGGTCTCGCAGCAGTGCTGTATAGTCTCTTGGCATTTGTCTTTAATAAAATGTCTACTTTTGTCTTCAGTACATCTGGCAGCAATCAGCCAGCACGTAGATAAGGTCACGTTCCTGCTATTTTTTCCCTTCAGTCCTTTCTGTTTTTTTTTCTGTATTGGGTGCAAGTGCTTGGAAATGCATGCTGTTCTGTTTCTTGGGTAAAGCAAAAGCTCAAAGTCTCTAGTTGCCACTGTACTACAAATAATAATAAGTGCATAATCAAGGTTGCATTTATTTTGTGTTTATTCTGAACATTAGAGACTTGTGGCAATTATAATACCATTAAGTGGTAATAGAAAAGGATTTAAAAGTGGATCATGAGACTCTTGGAGGGAAATGAAAATGTTGCTTGTTTTTCYGTAGCATCAGAGGCTTTGCATTCTTCCCTCTTACGGCAAAGAGAACAAACTGAAGTGATTCCCAAAAAGCTGGGGCATAGATCCAGGCCTATGCAGGGCTATATGAAAGACAAGTTTATGTGTGAGAGCTTAAATGGAAATAAAGATAGTCTCTCAAACGCGTATTTGTCTTTCAAATAAATATGATATGGTTTGAAGATGCACCAAGAGGTGTTTTCAAAGTTTAAAATATCCTTCTAAATGTGCACGTGAATTCCAAATAGATATCTCAATATCTCTAGGAGTTAATAGAGACCAAATTAAATTTCACAGGGAATACTCCACAAATGACCATTTTATTGAAAGTTTCAAGTTAAGAGGCAAATGCAGTGTAGCACTAGCTATTTTTGGTCTTGCTGACATGTAGTGTTCTCTCTGAGCGCACACTGTGTCTCCCAGCCGTGCTTACRGGCTGGGATGTGGAAGCTGCTCCGTGTTTCGAGGCACGTGCTGCTGGCGGTAGCTGCCAACCCGCTGCACCCCCTCCACCAGGCTGCATTTGTGCCCGGGCAGCAGCAGCACCCCCTGCAGAAGAGCTCCTCTTTGTGTATTTTTGCATAGACTTTGTTAAACCATTTTAGTTTAGACTGTTACAACATTTTTGTATTTTCCTTATTTTCCTCAGAGTGGCTTATTTT